ATTATTATTATTATCACTCTAAATTTTGAGTCCATTTACCATCCTTTGAGGATACCAATTAATTCTGGACTGGATTTCCTTTCAGCTTCCAATGAACCAAGCCCCATTCCATCAAAATCTAAACACCTCGACTATACCGCGCCTGAAGAACAAGACAGGAAACTTGGCAGAGTGGCTTTTCCTAATAGTTATTTCTGCTACTTTACAAGATAACTTCTTGAAATATACAATCTATAGTTATAAAACATGAGTACTAAATCCAGACGTTCTTCAAATTATAAACTGCATAATTTATAAATATATTGATACAATCATGTATGCTGTACAACACTGAAACATATACGTCTTACAGAACTAGAATAAAAGGAGATTTTCAGATATCAAGACACCTCACCATACAAATCAACTATTCTTCTGACAGTCCTATATGAAACAATAAAAGTACTCAGGTGTAACCATCTCCTTCAGTCTGGAGATCCTTAAAATATTTTGGGTTTTTTTTGCTTTTTTCCAGTTGCAACTGAGGCTGATAATTATCTTCCTAAACTATTGACCACACCAGAACTCCCAGTTATCAGACCTGGTAATTATGTGTTTTTATGTGTTTGATAACATTGAATGCAGTGTGATTGCGGGTCACATGTAGAACTTCAGTACACAGATGACTAATAATAGAACACCCTGCCGCTAAGGGATCTTTTTCCCCCTCAGTCTACTTTTGAAGTACATTCTCCTAAGCTTTAACCCCAAATTCCTTCTCTTTTCATCCTGTACCTTCCTGTCAGAATATAGATTAATTCTAAACTGGACCTTCCTTTCAGCTTCTTATGAACCAAGGCCTCTTCCGTCAAAACCTAAAGAACACGACTCTATCATGCCAGAAGTACCAGACCGGAAACCTGGTAGAGTGACTTTTTTCAATAGTTCTTTCTGTCTTTTTGCAAGATAATTTCTTCACTGTGTTCAAATTGTAAAATGCATAATTTCTAAATCTATTGATCCAATCATGAATGCAGCACAACACTGAATGTTTCCCCTTTATAGAATGGCAAAAGAATTAGACTTTCGAATCTTGAGACATTCCACTGTACTCACGATAACTTCCTGTGATAGTAAGAGGATTAAACTCATATGGGACAATATATTTCTTCATCTAAAAGCATGCATGACATTTTCGTTTTAAGATGGAACACCCCTGAAGCATCTTGGGGTGCTTAGCTGTTACCCTGTCATTCAGTCAGGAGATCCTGAGCTTCTTTTCGGGTTGTTTGCTTTTTTCCAGTTGCAACTGAAGCTGATAATTATCTTCCTAAACTATTGACCACACCAGAACTCCCAGTTGCCAGATCTGGTAATTATGTGTTTTTATGTGTTTGATGATAGTGGGCAGTGATTGTGGGTAGATGATGCATTAACGTACTACTGAGACACAAGGAGTTTCTGGTTTCAATCGTACTATTACAAACTTACATATCGGTCAAATGTAGAACTTCAATATACAATGCCTAATATTAGAAGACTCCACTGCTAAAGGTTTTCTTTTTTCTCATGCTGCTTTTGAAGTCCATTTCCCTGAGGTTTCACCCACATTACCTTATGGAAATTCTTTCTCTTTCAAATTCAAACTCATTTTATAAGATATGACAGATATCACACAAAGTTATGAATATACCTTCCTGTCAAATTAATTCTGAACTGGACCTTCCTTTCAGCTACTTATGAACGAAGCCCTGCTCCGTCAAAACCTAAAGACCACGACTATATCATGCCAGAAGCACCAGAGAGGAAACCTGGTAGAGTGACCTTTTTCAATAGTTCTTTTTGCCTTTTTATAAGATAATTTCTTGACTCTCTTGAAATGGAAAAATGCAGAATTTCTAAATCTCTTCATCCAATCATACATGCAGTAAAACATTTTAAGTGTCCGCTTTCTACAACAGGAATAAAAGTAGAGTTCCAATCTCGAGACATACCTCTGTACTAACAATAACTTCCTCTTATAGTGAGAGGAATAAAACTCATAAGGGACAATATATTTCATCATCTTAGGACAATGCATGACATTTTCATTCTAAGATAGAATGCCTCTGACGCACCTTGAGGTAATCACCTGTTACCCTGTTCTTCAACCTGGAGATCGTGACATTATTTTGGGGTTGTTTGCTTTTTTCCAGTTGCAACTGAGGCTGATAATTATATTCCTGAACTATTGACCACACCAGAACTCCCAATTAGCAGACCTGGTAATTATGTGTTTTTATGTCTTTGATAAAATTCTATGCAGTGTGATTGTTGGTAGAAAATGCATTAAGGCATTATTTAGACCCAAGGAGGATCGGGACTGAACAGAACTTTGAAAGACATCCGTGTGGGCCATATGTAGAACTTTGGTACACAGATGCCTAATATTAAAAGACCCCGTCGCTAATTTTTTTTTCCTCATGCTATTTTTTAAGTCCATTTTCCTCAGGATTTACCCCCATTCCCCTCCAAAAATTCTTTCTCTTTTCACTTCAAACATTTCTTATAAGATATTACTATCACACAATGTTTTGAATCCTATACGTTCCTGTCAGCATATACATTAATTCTGAAGTGGACCTTCCTTTCAGCTCCTTATGAACCAAGCCCTGTTCCATCAAAACATAAAGAACACGACCCTATCACACCAGAAGTTCCAGACCGGAAACCTGGTAGAGTGACTTTTTTCAATACTTCTTTCAGCTTTTTACAAGATAATTTCTTGACTCTCTTGAAATGGAGAAATGCAGAATTTCTAAATCTATTGATCCAATCATACATGCGGTAAAACACTCTAAGTGTCCCATTTAGACAACAGGAATATAATTAGAGTTGCAATCTCAAGACATCCCGCTGTACTCACAATAACATCCTGTTATACTGAGAGTAATAAAACTCATAAGGGACAATAGATTTCTTCATCTTAGGAACATGCACAACATTTTCATTTTAAGATGTGACACCTCTGAGGCATCTTAGGGTACTTAGCTGTTACCCTCTCCTTCAACCTGGAGACCCTGAAATTATTTTCGGGTCATTTCCTTTCATCCAGTTGCAACTGAGGCTGATGATTACCTTCCTGAACTAGTGACCACACCAGAACTCCCAGTCAGAAGACCTGGTAATTATATGTTTTTATACGTTTGATAAAATTGTATCCACTGTAACCCTTGGTAGAAGCTGCATTAATGGTGTTCCTTAGACACAAAGAGGCTCTGGACTGAACAGAACTTTGAAAGACTTGCGTACGGGTCACATGTCATACTTTGATACACAGATGCCTAATATTTGAAGACCCAGCTACTAAACAGTTGTGCTTTTTTTTTTCTTCAACCTATTTTTGAACTCCACTTTCTTCAGCTTTGACCCTCATTAACCCTCTAGAAATTCTTTCTCTTTTCACTTCAAACTCAGTTTTGTAAGATATGACTACTATCACACAACGTTTTCAATCCTGTACCTTCCTGTCAGAATATCGATTAAATCTGAACTGACCTTCCTTTCAGCTCCTTATGAACCAAGCCCTGTTCCGTCAAAACCCAAAGAAAATGAATGTATCATACCAGAAGTAACAGAGATGAAACCTGATAGAGTGACTTTTTTCAACACTTTTTTCTTCTTTTTACAAGATAATTTCTTGTCTCTCTTGAAATGGAAAAATGCAGAATTCCTAAATCTATTGATCCAATCATACGTGCGGTAAAAGACTCTAACTGTCCCATTTAGACAACAGGAATAAAAGTAGATTCCAAATCTCGAGACATCCCACTGTATTCACAATAACTTCCTGTTATACTGAGAGGAATAGAATTCATATGGGACAATATATTTCTTCAGCTTAGGACCATACATGACTTTTTCATTTTAAGATGGAACATCTCTGAGGCATCTTGAGGTACTTAGCTGTTACCCTATCTTTCAACCTGGAGATCCTGAAATTATTTTGGGGTTGTTGCTTTTTTCCAGCTGCAATTGAGGCTGATAATTATCTTCCTGAAATATTGAGCACACCAGAATTCCCAATCAGCAGACCTGGTAATTATGTGTTTTTATATGTTTGATAAAATTCTATGAAGAGTCATTGTTGGTAAATAACACATTAAGGTATTACTTAGACCCAAGGAAGTTCTGACTGAACAGAACTTTGAAAGACAGCTATGAGGGCCACATGTAGAACTTTGGTACACAGATCCCTAATATTAGAAGACCCCGCTGCTAAACTTTTTTTTTCTCATGCTACTTTTTAAGTCCAATTTCCTCAGGTTTTACCCGATTTCTCTCCAAAAATTCTTTCTCTTTCACCTTAAACTTTTTTTTATAAGGTATTTTATCACACAGTGTTTTGAATTCTATATGTTCCTGTCAGTATATACATTAAATCTGAACTGGACCTTTCTTTCTGCTCGTTATGAACCAAGCCCTATTCCGTCAAAACCTAAAGAACATGAATCTATCATGCCAAAAGTACCAGAGAGGAAACCTGGTAGAGTGACTTTTTTTAATACTTCTTTCTGCTTTTTACAAGATAATATCTTGACTCTCTTCTAATGGCAAAATGTATAATTTCTAAATCTATTCATCCATTCATGGATATGGCACAACACTGAAACTGCCCCTTATTAGAACAGGATTAAAGGAGACTTTCCCATCTCGAGACATCCCAATGTACTGAAGATAACTTTCTGGGGAATAAAGCTCTTATGGCAGTATACGTTTCTTCATCATAGGACCATGCATGACATTTTCTTTTTAAGATGGAAAGCCTCTGAGGCATCTTGGGGTACTTAGCTGTCACCCTGTCCTTCAACTGAAAATCCTGAACTTTTTGGGGGGTTGTTTGCTTTTTCAGTTGCGACTGAGGCTGGTAATTATCTTCCTGAACTACTGAGCACCACAGAACCTCCAGTTAGGAGACCTGGTAATTATGTGTTTTTATGTGTTCCACCAAATTCACCGTGATTGTTGGTGGATGCTGCATTAATGGCATTCCTTAGACACAAGGAGGTTCTGGACTGAACAGAACTTTGAAAGACCTCTGTGTGGGTCACACGTAGAACTTTTGTACACAGTTGCCTAATATTAGAAGACCCCGCCGCTAAACCTTTTTTTTTTTTTTTTTTGTCATGCTACTTTTAAAGTCCGTTTTCCTCAGGTTTTACCTCCATTACTCCAAAAATTCTTCCTCTTTTCACTTCAAACTTTTTTTATAAGATCTTACTATCACACAATGTTTTGAATCCTCTAAGTTCCTGTCAGCATATAGATTAATTCTGAACTGGATCTTCCTTTCAGCTACTCATGAACCAAGCCCTGTTCCGTCAGAACCTAAAGAACATGACTCTATCCTGCCAGAGGTTCCAGACCGAAAACCTGGTAGAGTGACTTTTTTCAATACTTCTTCCTGCTCTTTACAAGATAATTTCTTGACTCTCTTGAAATGGAAAAATGCTGATTTGTAAATTATTGATCCAGTCATACGTGCAGTAAAACACTCTAAGTTTCCCCTTTAGACAACAGGAATGAAAGTAGAGTTCCAATCTCGAGACATCCCACTGTACTCACAAAAACTTCCTGTTATACTGTGAGGAATAAAACTCATATGGGACAATAAATTCCTTCATCTTAGGACGATGCATGACTTTTTCATTTTAAGATGGAACATCTCTGAGGCATCGTGGGGTACTTAGCTATTACCCTATCTTTCAACCTGGAGATCCTGAAATTATTTTGGGGTTGTTCCTTTTTTCCGGCTGCAACTGAGGCTGATAATTATCTTCCTGAATTATTGAGCACACCAGAACTCCCAATTAGCAGACCTGGAAATTATGTGTTTTTCTGTGTTTGATAAAATTCTAAGCAGTGTGATTGTTGGTAAATAACACATTAAGGCATTACTTAGACCCAAGGAAGTTCTAGACTGAACAGAACTTTGAAAGACAGCTATGAGGTCCACATGTAGAAATTTGGTACCCAGATCTGTATGGGACAATAGATCTCTTCATCTTAAGACCATGTATAACATTTTAATTTTAAGATTCAATGCCTCTGAGGCATCTTGGGTTACTGAGCTGTCACCCTGTGCGTCAGCATCCTTGGGAATAAAACGCATATGGCAGTATACGTTTCTTCATCTCAGGACCATGCATGACAATTCCATTTTAAGATGTAATACCTCTCAGACATCTTGGGGTAATTAGCAGTCACCCTGTCCTTCAACCTGAACATCCTGAACTTATTTTGCGGTTGTTTGCTTTTCCAGTTGCAACTGAGGCTGATAGTTATCTTCCTGAACTACTGAGCACCACAGAACTCCCAATTAGGAGACCTGGTAATTATGTGTTTTTATGTGTTCCACCAATTTCACTGTGATTGTTGGTAGATGGTGCATTAATGGCATTCCTTAGACACAAGGAGGTTCTGGACTAAACAGAACTATGAAAGACTTGCGTACGGGTCACATGTAGAACTATGGTACACACATGCCTAATACTTGAAGACCCCGCGGTTAAACAGTTGTGGTTTTTTTGTCTTCATCCGAATTTGAACTCCATTTTCCTGAGGTTTTGCCCCATTCCCCTCCAAAAATTCCTTCTGTTTTCACCTCAGACTTTTTTTGGTAAGATATTACCCTCACACAATGTTTGAATCCTATACATTCCTGTCAGGATATAGATTAATTCTGAACTGGACCTTCCTTTCAGCTTCTTATGAACCAAGCCCTCTTCCGTCAAAACCCAAACAGCATGCATCTATCATGACAGAAATACCGGAGAGGAAACCTGGTAGAGTGACTTTTTTCAATACTTCTTTCTGCTTTTACAAGATAATTTCTTGACTCTCTTGAAATGGAAAAATGCAGATATCTAAATCTATTGATGCAATCACACAGGCGGCATAACACCCTCAGTGTACCCTTTCTAGAAGTGGAATAAAAGTAGACTTCCAATCTCGAGACATACTACTGTACCCACAATAAATCCCTGTTATAGTGAGAGGAATAAAACACATATGGGACCATATATTTCTTCGTCTTAAGGCCATGCACAAGATTTTCATTTTCAGATAGAATGCCTCTGACGTATCTCTGGGTACTTAGCTGTTACCCTATGTTTCAACCTGGAGATCCTGAAATTATTTTGGGGTTGTTCCTTTTTTCCAGCTGGAACAGAGGCTGATAATTATCTTCCTGAAGTATTGAGCACACCAGAACTCCCAATTAGCAGATCTGGTAATTACGTCTTTTTATGCATTTGATAAAATTGTATCCACTGTGATTATTGGTAGATGATGCATTAATGGCATCCCTCAGACACAAGGAGGTTCCAGACAGAACACAATTTTGAAAGATGGGCATTCAGGTCACATGTGGGATTCAGTACACAAATGCCTACTATTTGAAGACCCCGCGGCTAAACGGTTGTGGGTTTTTTGTCGTCATCCTACTTTTGAATTCAATTTTCCCCAGGTTTACCCCCATTCCCCTCTAAAATTCTTCCTTTTCACTTCAAACTTTTTTTATAAGATCCTACTATCACACAATGTTTTGAATCCTCTAAGTTCCTGTCAGCATATAGATTCTGAACTGGACCTTCCTTTCAGCTACTCATGAACCAAGCCCTGTTCCGTCAGAACCCAAAGAACATGAATCTATCATGACAGAAGTACCGGAGAGGAAACCTGGTAGAGTGACTTTTTTCAATACTTCTTTCTCCTCTTTGCAAGATAATTTCTTGGCTCTCTTGAAATGGAGAAATGCAGAATTCTAAAAATATTGATGCAATCACACAGGCAGCACAACACTCCCTGTGTAACCTTTCTAGAAGGGGAATAAAAGTAGACTTCCAATCTTGAGACACACTACTGTACCCACAATAACTTCCTGTTATAGTGAGAGGAATAAGACACATATATTTCTTCATCTTAAGGCCATGCACAAGATTTTTATTTTCAGATGGAACGCCTCCAAGGCATCTTGGGGTACTTAGCTGTTATCTTAATCTTCAACGTGGATATCCTTAACTTCTTTTGGGGTTGTTTGCTTTTTTCCAGTTTCAACTGAGGCTGATAGATATCTTCCTAAACTATTGAGCACA